CCTGGCCCCAGAGGCCTCCGTGTCCCTGCAGCTGCTAGATATTTCCTGGAACCCTTAAACCTTCCCTGTCTCCTCTGGGTGCCCAATGCTGCCCAGGTGTGGTCACATGCTAAGGGAACGAACAGGTTAGGGCACTGGCTCTCGGGGTGGGGGAGGGCATGGTGGGCAGCAGCTCAGCGTGTGGAGCGGGGGCGGGGGGGGAGGGAGGGGCCTTAAATCTGTACAGTAAACCACACGGACCAGAGGTAAAAGGCGAGCCTGTCCGTGAAGGCCAGCCACGACTCACGCAGCAAAATGCCCGGGATTCTTGCAGATGAAAGGCAAGCGCTGCCCGTCTACTCTTCTGTCACCATCCCTCAGAGTTTATGAGAACAGATTCTCTCTTGCTGGGCTCTATGGCAGTATTAAAGATTTCCATTACTGATAGTTCTTTCCAGTTAGTACTTTCAGTATTAAATTCTGTCATTAGGAAGTAAAATATGCATGATCCCTAAATCTATGGGTATTATAACAGGATTTCATTGTTATAAATTTGTCTTCTTGGGCCTCCATTTCTGTCTTTGCTGTCTTTTTAAAACCCTAATGTCTGATAGCTATAGCCAGGAGATAATTAGGAAGTGGTACTAAAGAATCACAGGCTTATTCTCTCACTCATTCACAGAAATTTATTGAGTGTCTACACTAAGACATGGTGTCCTGAAGCCAGTGGGAAAGACAGTGGTGACAACTAATTACAACACTAAGGGATTCTGGTCTGAGCTGATATAGGCAGCCCCCTCCCACACACATATGTATATACCCACACATTGTATAAAATAAAATAAAATAATTGGAAATCACAGCTACACTTGAAAGGAATGGGGAGTCCCAGATTTCAAAGACGAGTGCAAATTCAAAGCCAGGGTGAAGGGGAATCGAATCCAGATGGCTGGAGTCCCAAGCCCCAAGAAGAGGCAAGATGTGAAGGCCATGGACTCCTGGGTGGCTGGGACCAGAAACAAGACCCTACATACAGTTGGTGGCTTAAAAGGGCTAACAGTCCCCACCCACCAGCTGGGCGAATGGTGACGGCATGACAGCAGGATAATAATTTGGGTAGAGAAAAGATAATTTGCAAAAGATCGAAAACCAAGCTGGTGCCAAGTGAATATGTGGGGTCCAAATTCCCATCGCTTTCACAGAGTGGAAACCACAATCAGAGAAATCAATGTATAAACTGGTTTAACATCAATGGGAACCAACAGAGGCAGACTCGAACCTTCCCTGAGATATGCCTCCACAACCCGGGCACTTGGGATGCCCAGAGAAAATGATTCCTACTGAAGATGAGCTCACACAAAGGAATTACACGGCACCTAAGGAAACAAACTGGCAAGAGAGCGAGGCTCAGATTCAATATGGCACCCAGCTTGGCTACCTATGCTGCTCCTAGAATTACCCAGAAGCTCCCATTTCTTCCCACTTGATATCCATCCACTTGATATCATCATCCTTCCAACTCTAATCCAGACACTTGAGCGTGCCCAGAGCCCCTGCCTCTCTTCTTTCCAGTATATATAAAAAACATATGTATAAAATCCCTCCCACTTAATTTGCACACAACACCATTAAGATACTTAGCCACCCTTACTTTTTTTAAAAAGACTTTATTCATTTATTTATTTGACAGAGAAAGAGTACAAGCAGGGGGAGCAGAAGGGAGAGGGGGAGGGAGAAGCAGGCTCCCCACTGAGCAAGGAGCCTGATGTGGGGCTTAATCCCAGGACCTTGGGATCATGACCTGAGCTGAAGGCAGACGCTTAACCAAGTGAGCCACCCAGGCGCTCCCTTACTTAGTAGCCCGTATTGTTTGTATCTGAGCCCACTAGCCAGATGTGATCCCAGGTGAGGGGGCTTCTGCCACACCTGGTCACCTCCTCACCTGGCAGTGTGGTGAGACTGCTCCAGGGTAGTGACCCCAAGCTTGGTTTGGGGGTCTCAATTATGTGAGCCCTTCGAATATGAAGAGTGTAGGTCCCTTCTGTTTTCATAGGTTGATGTCATTTGCCAACTACTGGTGGCTCTCTGAGTGAGCTCTTCCTGGTTCCTAAAATTTGGCATCGAACTCAGTGATCAAGTTGCCTGAGGGCTCTGATTCAGCGTCCACCCAAGGACCTGACCCCCAGGCAAAGCTTGGCCACAGTGTGATTGTAGGCCGAGGTGTCCCAGAGCAGGTTGCTGTCCCGTCAGGGCATCGTCAGCATTGTCCTGAGCTGGGGGAGGTTTGGAACTACTGCTATTTCTGCTTTCAAATCATAAATTACTCTTGCTTTGGCTTCACCACCATCAGCTTAGTGAATAGAGGATGGATCGTTCTACATGGTTGTCATGATTCATTTGCCTCATCAGAGCTATAATCCCTACAACCTGCTAGAGAAGCCTTAAGACACATGCCCTGTAGTTCACATGTGAACCATCCATGTCTCCATTAGCGGATTACTGTCCACATGCTTCCTTATTATCCAAGGCCTTTCACTAGTAAGAGGGAGGTCGGTAGGATCGCTGAAGTCAATGGCATTGCTAAGTGCTAGCTCTTTGGTCACATCAAAGCAGCCCAGATAAAAAATGTTCATCCTCCTGGGACAATGCTTCCCCATGTCCTTGGGTGTTCAAGAAGGGACTTCAAGCCACCTACACTCTGTGAATTTATAAGGTTAGTAAAATATGAGTAAAGTTACTTCATCTTGGACAAGGAACAGTTTTTCCAATCATCCATTTAGGAAAACATTCACGGAGAGCTCGGTGTGCCCAGCCCAGTGGTGGGGATAAGGCAGAGACAACCTTGCTGCCCCCAGGGGCCTCAAGGACAGGCAGAGCCACAGAGGGAGACCAAGAACAGGTGAGGACATCAGCTCCTTGAGTTCCCTTAGTGTGGTGCCTGTTTCCCTGACTCCGGGGAGAGGGTGCTGCTGAACCTAGCTGGTCTTTCCTTCTCCGCAAGGCCAGCTTAAACCCTGTGGACACAGCTCAAGGAGCCATCAGATTCTCTTCTTCAACAGACATCTTTATCTATCCCATGGCCTACTCTCCTTTTCACAGCAGGGAATGAAATAGCCTCACAAAAGAGCCAAATCATAACTAAAGAAAGTAATAGGAAGACTGTATACACAAATACAACCTGCAGAGAAGATTTTGGGTGTGCACACTCAGCCCTTGACTTCCTACCCCTGCAGTGGTCCTCAGTAATGATGGGCTTGACCAATGGCCTTCACTGAAGTCCTTCTGGATGAAGGGGAGACAGACACCTGTTTAGGGCATAATAGTTACTGTGACAGTCAGAATCCAAAATGGCGCCCAATGATCCCACCTCCTGGCATCAGCTTTCTTGTGTAATTCCCTCCCCTTAAGTGTGGGCTGAGCCTAGGGATTTGCTTCTATCACATAGAAGGTGGTAAAAGTGATGGATGGTAACTTCTGAGATTACGTTCTAGAAGACTATAACTTCCATCTTGCTGGCACCCTCAGCTCCCGGGGCTTGCTTGCTCTAGTCAAGTGAGCTGTTATGTTGGAGCGGCCTGTATAGCAAGGAACCGAGGGCGGCTTCTGGATAACAGGATGTGAGAACCAAATCCTTGCCAACAGCCACTGAGTGAGCCTGGGACAGATCCTCCTGGTTGAACCTTGAGATGACTAGAGCCCCTGACAACACATTGACTGCAGCCTTTTCAGTCCTTCTGAAGCCAGGGACCCTGCAAATCCATGCCTAGATTCTTGGCCTATAGATACCATTTGATAACAAATGTGTGTTGTTTTAAGGGGGTAATTTGTCACTCAGCAGTAGATAAGTAAGACCGTTACCAAACAGCTCACAGAGAATGTCCTTCAGCAGAGAATGTATGGGCCTATTTTGGGAATTTTCAAAACAATATGGATTGGTTCTTTTTTCTTTTTTTTTTTTTAAGACTTTTATTTATTTATTTGAAAGAGAGAGAGAGAGAAAATGAGCACGAGCAGGGGGAGGGGCAGAGGGAGAAGCAGACTCCCTGCTGAGGAGGGAGCCTGACATGGGACTCCATCCCAGGACCCCGGGATCATGACCTGAGCCGAAGGCAGATGTTTAACCGACTGAGCCACCTAGACGCCCCTGGCTTGGTTCTTTTCTTAAACCTTAGTTAATAAGCATGGACAAACATAGTACCCAATTCCCAGGGCTTACTGGGGATTTATTAAAGAAACTCCCAGCTAGTGGCCACAGACATAAAGCCACGAGGACCCAGACAGACATCTAGGGCAGTCGTTCCAGCCAGGGAGGGGCACCAGAATCAGCTGAGGAGCCTGGGCCCCACCGGGATCCCCTGAAGCTGGAACCTGGAGCCCAGAGCAGACATGATTTCTCCGGGTGAGAGGCTGTAATCCTGGGTAAGAACCATGGATCTGCTCCTGCTCCCCAATGTGATGTACTGGGAGATGAAGGGCCAGAGAAGTTGTGTGTCTTTTTAAGGTCACACAGCCTGTTGTGGCAGCCAGCGTCCCCTCTGAATGGAGAACACAGCTCAGTGCTGTGCTAACAGTAGAAACAAATAAAGAGATACGCAGAGAAAACTTCTAAGGTTCCTTTATTTGTTTTGGAAAACAACCTCCACTCTTTCTCTCTCAATTTAGTCCAGGCCTCGTGACAAAAAAAAGCTTTTCTCTCTGGCCTCCTCTGCAAGAAAGGAAACAACATAAACACTCCCCGTGAGAGCTCTCTCCCCAGATTCCAGGGAGGGGCAGACCAGGCCAGGACTGGAACGGAACAGCATGGAGAACACGTGGGATCTGTCTCCGAGCCCCACTTGGTTTACAATCCCTTCCTCCATCCTCCCTGAGACATCTGCTCCTGTCCGGGGGGGGGGGGTTCTCCCTCCACCTCCCAGTTCAGAGCATCTGCAGTAGCTGTGGGCTGCTCATAGCCTGATTTCCAGTCTGCTTGTCATCCGGGGAAACGTCACTCACAGTCCCGCTGGTTCTGGCTCGGGTCCTTACGAGCTCACCAGGTCCCAGTGCTGGCTCATAAGTGATGATTCACATGGGTTGACCACGATTTCCCTGCCATTCTCAGAGCCATCACCAAACATGTCCGTGTCTAGGCAGAGGTGGGAGGCTATGTGCTCGATGCGGGAACCAGTCTTGGTCCATTGCTGAGAAGACGGAGAGGAGAGAGCATGAACCGGAATTCTCTGGCTAAGGGCCCAGGTTCTATCAATAATACCAGGAGTTCCAGAATAATCAGACATGTTTACACCACATGGCTAGGGTCACCCAGAGACTTGACTTCATGGTCTCACGGAGGAATAAAACTGCAAGTAATTGCTTTGCCAGGTATTACTGTTGGTTTTTGTTCTTTTTGTTTTTTGTTTGTTTGTTTGTTTTTTGTTTTGGATAAAAAAGTAAAAGCAAAATCAGTATGTTTACTAGGAGAACTCATTAGAAGGCAATAACTTTCCAAGCACTAGGCCAGAGAACGTGAAGCACGTGAGTCACGGGAGCAACCCAAGAAAAGACGAGCACTCAGCGTCTGCACATCAGGAAGATGTGGGAGCGAGCGGGGGGATGGGGCGCAGGGGGGCAGAGAGGCTTCTGGGCAGCACCCAATGCCAGCAGGCTCTGCTCCTCCAAAGCCCTTCAGCTCAAGAAGGGCCCAAGCAGAGAAGGGGGTCTCGTGCCGCTGCTCCCCAGACTTTACCTCACATGACAAGGAAGGGGGGGATGAACGCGTTTTGGGGAACTGCCACGGTGCAGGCACCAGGGCGCACTTCCGTGACTCCCTTGTGTGGTGGGCATCTTCACTTCCATTTCAGAGAGGAAGGAACCAAAGTCCAGTGAGCTGCCATGGATCCCACGGCTAGTGAACCATACAAAGGGCATCTGGATGTCCATCTCTCTAATGCCAACACCCAATCGGCAGGAGACTGCGTGGGGTCAGCAGCGTGGGCCCGACAGGGCACGTGGTGCATCCAGAGGGCACGTCCTGCCAGAGCCCAAGGCCCCCCCGCAGGCCAAGATTCCGGTGCCGCTCATCCTGCGGCCCTGAAGGCTTTGTCCCAGTGCTCTCGTGCTCTGGGATGCCAGGTGGGCATTGGAGCTAGACGGGCGAGCACAAGATGCATGTGCCCACTGGGGCCTGGCCAGGTCCGCCGGCATTCAGGGACAAGCTGACCGCTGCAGCTGGTGCCCCTGTTCTCCTCTCCTGACCAGAAGGACGTCTTTCTGATCAGCCCCTCCACTTCTAGAGGTTCTCCCTGGTCTTGCACACGAGACTCGGACCCACACAGGCAGTCCCGTCACTGAAGGTGGCCATGCCCCAGTGCACCCACTGAGCACTCACCTGTTTGTCATCTCCGTTCTTGCAGAGGACGAGAACCACCGGGGCACCCGGGAACATGGTGATGACAGACAGGCACAGCTCCTCCTGGAGGATCTGCTGGGTGTATGTGAAGGCCCATATCTGGAGGGGAAGAGGCCAGAAGGTTCACATCAGGATCCTTGGAAGCGTGGTGGGACACGTCTGGGACATGTCTGGGACCGTGTGAGAATCAGCACAGCTTGGTAAAAAGCACTGGAGGTCCGAGCAGGAACAGACCATCAACAAAGTCACCTTGGAAAATGGGATCCACTAGTCAGAGACTCCCAGGTCCTGCCCCCACTGAAGTCTCCATCTCCATACCTGGGAAGGGGACTGGCCTGGGCACGCAGGCCACCTCTGGGAGGTGCTGAACAATTCTGGGCTCGAGGTGGGGAAGCCTCAACGACACCCCAGCCCAGCCGTGTGGTCTCTAGTTTTTCTGTTGGGATCTGTATCTAGTCCCCACACTTGACACTGCAGCTACCTGGCAGATCATCCCCAGCTGGCTCTAGAATGTCCCTTCTTTGAAAAGGACAGACGGTGGGATGAAGGGAACAGGGAGCGTGCCGAGGGAGGGAGTGGAAGAAAAGCAGAAGGACAGCAGGTCACGAGACAGAAAATGGTCCCCACAGGCATGTGCACTCCAGCACTCTAGGGGAACAGATCGTTGGGCCCCAGAGCCCCCGCTGGGAGGGAAACTGAGAAAGCGAGCAGACAAGGAGGGTGGGGAGAGGAAAGGGTCATTCCATTTGAGGGTCATCACAAGGAATGTTTCTCGGTTATTACACAAAATGCCGGAGATCAGAGAGCAAGGAGCTGCTGAAGGAGCTCAAACCACTTCGAGTTCTTAGGTCAGAGGGATGAAAATGTGAGCCTACATGAGGTCCTTCCCAGGCTGTGAAGTAGGGGCCTCATCACTGGGCAAAGAAGGTGACTGGTGAACTGGATGCCCTGGGGGGAGCTGCAGAGAGGACCCGTCAAGGGCTGAACCCCTTCTCCACTCCACGCCTGCTGACCAGCTGACGCCCAGCCTCTGGACCAGGCTGCTCGTCAGCTACTTCTCCTTGGCCTGAGAATGAATCAAGGATCCGTTAGCTGGCCAGTCCCCTGCTCTAGGACCACGTGTCCCGTAAGCTGAGCCAGCGTTCATGTGCTCCTTTTTCTGCACCCTCCCTAGCTCATGGCAGCCCCCTCCTGGCCCTGGCACCCCTCCTGACTTTTGCCATCTGGTGACATCTTCGGTGTCTTTCTGTGCCCTGGCTTGTTCCCCTCCTTGCCCAAAGGCTTGGGTCCTTCTGCTGACTCACCAGGCCACCTAGATGCAGAACTCTGCCTCTCCTGATCTGGGACTTTCCCTGTCCCTGATACCTGGATGAGGCCACCAGCCCAGGGGGAGCCACTGTCCCCCTAGGGTCCTGCGTGTGGATTCTCATGTCCCTTTTCAAATTGCCAGTGTTGGGAGAAGACCTAGACCAGAAGGCACTCCCTGGGGCAGGGGCGGAGCCGGGGGGGGGTGATGGAAATACAGATGGATAAAAGACAGGCTGTGCGTTAAGAATTCTTGAAGCCTGGGGCGCCTGGGTGGCTCAGTCATTAAGCGGCTGCCTTCCGCTCAGGTCATGATCCCACGGTCCTGGGATCGAGCCCCACATCGGGCTCCCTGCTCAGAGGGAAGCCTGCTTCACCCTCTCCCACTCCCCCTGCTTGTGTTCCTGCTCTCGCTGTGTCTCTCTGTCAAATAAATTAAAAAAAAAAAAAATTCTTGAAGCCTGGGAATAAAATCTTAAAAAAAAAAAAAATAGGGCACCTGGGTGGTTCAGTCGGTTAAGTGACTGCCTTCGGCTCAGGTCATGATCCTGGAGTCCCGGGATGGAGTCCCACATCTGGCTCCCGGCTCAGCGGGGGTCCTGCTTCTCTCTCTGACCCTCTCCCCTCTCATGCTGTTTCTCTCTCTCTCTCTCAAATAAATCAATAAAGTCTTTAAAAAAAAATTCTTGAAGCCTGGGGATGGCTACAGGGGCTCTTTATACTCTCCCATCTATTTCTAGATCTATATACATTTAAAATTTTTAATACTAAATGTAATGAAATGTACTCCTTGGGACGTATCAAGAAGTTCTCCCCTGGCCTTGAACATCACCATACTATGCATGCCATTTGCTTCCCTCCAGGATTAGCTGAAAGGGAAAGACGTCTGTATGCACAGGGGTGATGCAGTAATCATGACCCTGTTACTGACGGCCAACATTTCCTGAGGACTTACTATGTGCTAGGCACTGTCCTGGGGCCTTGGCACAGAGGACGTTCGTCTTCATAAGAATCCTACTAGATAGCTATTATTATTATTGTCCCCATTCTACATGACGAAAGCCTCGCAGAAGTTATGCAACTCTCCCTGACCGACTCCCTGTAGCTCCTTTGTTGTTGCCGCTGCCAGGGTCCCGGCTCCCTCTACCCCAGTTTAATCACAGGTAATGTCTGTCACTGAGATCCCTCTTCCACGTTGTAAATATGAAAACTCTAGATCACCCCCACTTCGACAGCAGAGAGCTGGCCAGTGTTCCCACTGGCAGCCCCTATGAGAAGGGGAACGAAGGTCACAGCCCGTGTAGGGGACTAGGGAGGGGGCAGCTGAGAGAGCGGGCCCCTCCCAGATGCGGACAGACACTGGGGAAGAGTACGAATGGAGGCCCACGTTCTACGGACTCCACATCAGAGCGGGGCACACACAGAGCTGGCTTCCTGGGCCTGCTCCCCTCTTCTTCCCGCCCGGGGTCTGCCATCCCCCATCATCCACTCCACTGTCTGCATATCCATGCTCACTCGGTCACTCCCCTTTACAGGGCCCCCCTTGGGCCCAGGTGTGTGCTAGGGACACAGTCTACTCTCGGGAGATCCGTGCAGGTCCTGACGTCAGGTTAGGGCCATCTGGTTGGGGGTCCTGGGGCTCCGGACCTCTGGAGTGTGATCTAGAAGGTGGGAGCTGGTCTTGGGTACGTGTCCAAAGAATTCCACGTGGGGAAGGGAGAGAAAGGCCTGAAGCCCAGGCCCAAGCCCAAGGGCAGGGCTGCCAGGGAACCGCTGCCCAGGCCCGCCATACAACTGGCCTCAGCTTTAGATTTCTGCCATTGTCGAGAAATGAGGCTAAACGGACTCAGTGATGTGGAAAGAAGATAAGGTCCACCCCTCTGGCCCACTGCCCACCCACACTAGCTGCTGTGAACCGTGAATTAGCATTCAAAAAAATAAATCCTGTAATTATTTTGATTACTACAACACACTTTGTATTTTTTATGTTAAAAGCATTAACTAATTAAACGTAAAAACTTGAGTTATACCACAATTTCCGAAAAGCTCATTTTGGCATTGCTTCTTTTATAATATCCTAGGGGCTTTAAAAACTGGACGTCCTGAGGGTGGTGTGGGGGTGGGAGAGGAGTGGTACTTCTTTTGACATCTGAGACGCCCCATCCGCTCATGCCTTTCCGGAACAAACGCAGATGGCACCCGGCTGGGGCTGGGCTCGGAGGAAATCACCTTAAGATCCCCAGGGGGAGAATGCGCACATGCACAGACAGGGGATCGAAGCCTTTACACTAAGTGGACTTTCCGTTAGCTGGTGCTTTACTGGCACTGAAATAATTCAGCCTCACAATTTCTCAGAGGAACACAGCTCTCTGGCCACATCTGCGAGAGAGGAGAGAGAGAAGCAGAACACCGAAGCAGGTGGGGCAGGAAGTGAGGAGATGTTTTCCGATTCCCATTCTGCAGCCTGTCAGGCTTCCAGAATGGCCAGTGATGAATGGGTTTATTAAACGAATCCCGGAGTCAGAAATGGATTCGGGAAGGTAGCAGTGGTTGCTCAGGCTGGCCTGGCTGAGATCGGTGCATGCTGGGCCATGTGCCGACAGCTCTATTGGGGGTGTCTGGCCAAGTCGCAGCCCCCACCCCCAGGGCACACAGACATGGTCATACCCACAGGAGGTAACCCAGAGACGGTGTGGGCGGCCTCACCCCCTCACAGATAGACCAGTAAGGGGCCGAGGAGGAGGAGGTCCACCCCTGGCCCTCTAGCCCCTTTGCTCCTGCCCTGGAAGAGGGGAACTGGTGATGGGGGCGGGGGGGTCCAGGCTGGACAGCCTCACAGCCTTCTGTGCTTAGCGGGAGTTTCTGGAGGACAGCCCCTGCGTGCAGAGAAGGGAGCAGCCTGGCAGGTGGGGGCAGTAGAATTCTCTCTGGGCAATGCCCATCTGGGGGCAGCCTTGAGGCCTGGGATGAAACAGGCCGCAGCATCCAGCCCAGGGTTCACGGTCTAGTACTGGACGGAGCAGCAGAGAGGAAAGATGGTCTTAAGAGGACATGTCTAAAGGACCCAAGTTCTGAAAGAGGCAGGCATGAGAGGAGTCAGGGCCCAGGCACAGAGCTGACCTAGGAATGGCCCAGCACCACCACTAGTAGGCAAGAAGCAACCAGCCTGGGGTAGCAGCTCTCTACTGGGCTGATCTTGCTCCTATCTATCTATCTATCTATCTATCTATCTATCTATCTATCTATCATCTATCTATCTATCTATCTATCTATCTATCTATCTATCTATCATCTATTTATCTATCTATCTATCATCTTTCTACCCATCCACCCACCCACCATGTGGCAGTGTCTGGAAGCACTTTTTGATGACTATGACTGGGAGGGGGGGTTGTTACTGGTACCCAGTGGGTGGGGCCAGGGATGTGGGCAAACACCTACAGGGCACAGGACAGTCCCCCCGACAGAGAATTATCTGGTATTAATGCTAACAGTGCTGGGATTGAGACACCCTCGCCTAGTGTGAAGGGCCTGGCCCCTGGAAGCAGCCAGCCCGCCAGTACTTGTGTATGACCGGGGTAGCACTGGCCTCTCTCAGCCTCGCTCACCCCATCTGTGAGACAGCGGGGTAACAGGACATGGCTCATGGGGCCTTGGCATGACTAACCCAGACGAGGCCTGTGGAATCTGCAGGCCGGTGGCTGGCTCCGGCGCGGTTTCTGGGGACAGGATTTTGGCGACACATGGGAGGAGCAGTGGTCGGGTGAGGAGACAAACACTCCCACGTGGAGAGA